GGCGTGCAAGGCCAGCTGGGACAAACAGCTCCGGAGACCCATCTCAGGAAAAAGCGAAGTACGATGGTGCATGCTTCTCTCATCAGCGATGGTGAGAAGCAGAGATTGGAGGATCATGGTTCAAGTACACTTGGGAGAAATGTTGAGATGTTATTTCAATAATAATCAAAAGCAAAGGGGCTGGAAGTTGCCTAGCAAGCACAAGACTGAGTTCAAATTCTAGAACCTTTAAAAAAAATCCATCGAGGATAGTCTATTAGCAATCTACAAACTGTATGTGAGGCTGCTATTGTGCTGGAGCTAGAAGAGTAGACCCTGCCTTCTTAAGAGCTTTCAGTATAAGACAACGCATAGAGGTAAACATTCCTCAACTTGTCCAACACCAAAGGTAGGTTCTCAGTCCTTGATTTTCCAGTCTTCAATCTCCCATTGCCTAGGTGCCCACGTCTCCATGGCAAGCTGCTCTAACATATCAACATTTCAGTTCTTATACACGTGTAACTATCCTGCTTCTTACTAACAAATGAGTCACATTAAAAGGTTAAAAAAAAAAACTGTTGATAGTGAAGTCCCATTTGCTTTAATTAGTGCTTTTGGCAAGTGCTCATTTTATGGCTAAACTACCTTATTGGCATTTTAAGGTAAGTCTAACTTCTTTTACTGCAGAAAGTTCTTTACATCTAATATATACAATCCCTTGGTATGTTGCAGTTCACTTACTGTAGCTTCACTATCACAGATTAAAAAATATATATATATGTATCCAATTCTGTATCAGTTTTCACTGTATCTCAGGATTTTGTAGTATACAGGTATTTATATATTTATGCTCTTAATTTTTTGCCTAAAATTTTAAAATATGTTAACTCAAACATATTAAAATATTACATTGGCCCCGCCTTCTCTTCACCACTCCCAGCGCCATCCCAGGAGGTTTGTTCCAACCCGTGGGACCCGGCCAGCACGTCCAACACAGCTGGCCTGCTGCTGAACCAGTTGGTGACTTCAGGGATGATCACTGAGGAAATGTTAAGTATGTCCAAGGAAACAGCTCCTTGCTTTGAGAATTTCTCCAGATTACAGCAGATCAATAATATTCAAGCTGAAATCTACCAGAAAAGCCTGGAAATTGAGTTTCTGGAACTAGAAAAAGAGTCAGCAGACGTTATTCATCCTTTCTATTTGAACACATGGTATGTTTGCTGAAATTGGCTGTGACTTTTATTGAGAAACTGGAAACCCATCTTGAAATAATTAGAAATAATTCTCATTTAGACGCAAATCTAAAGAAAATGAGCCAGGCTTTAGCAAAGATGGACATTTTGGTGAATGAGACAGAAGAACTTGCAGAAAATATACTCAAGTGGTGAGAAAAACAAAAGGAAGTTTCCTGTGTATCCCCAAAGTACTAGCTGAAGAAAATCATCTTCATAAACATGGCTTTATAGTATCTTGTACTTCTAAAGTTCATGCTCAAAATATTGATACCAAGTGATTATCCACTTTATTTTTGCTGAATTGTATATAGTCATACAAGGTCTGTTTCTAGTTAACTATGACATGGATATTTATAGAATTTGCTGATGGAAATATTGGAATACCAAGATTTAGGTTCATTTTTTTTCTGTATGTTTATATTCTGCTCTTCAGTAATGGAGATCTAACTTAGCTATGATAATTAAAAAGTAAATTAACAAAAAAATAAAATATTACATTGAAATAAAATACAGTATGCCACTACCACTTGTATAAGTTTATCAATGTGAAACTATACAGCACACTACTGGCTGACAGGATGGAAAGTGACCAACTACAGCATTGTATTCTATATCCTTGGCACTGATTGGCTCAGTGACCATAGCACTGGTCTGTTTGCTCTTCTTGACTATGCAATACATTCATCTCATGGTCATCACCTTCGTTGCCATCAGTACACAATTCATGGTCTTCATCATTCAAGTTTTAGTGTACTTTACTGGTGAGTACCCATATCAGATTTTATGTTGTTAAAATTATGCAGGTTTAGGGGCTAGGAAGGTGGCTCAGTGGTACAGCGCATGCCTTGCATGCATGAGGCCCTGGGTTCGATTCCTCAGCACCACATAAGCAAAAAGCAAAAAGCCGGAAGTGGTGCTTTGGCTCAAGTGGTAGAGCGCTAGCTTTGAGCTGAAGAGCTGAGAACAGCGCCCAGGCCGAGTTCAGGCCCCATAACCGGACCCCCCCCCCAAAAAATATGCAGGTTTAAGAGCAAATGAAGTGTTTATAAGAGTGTGGGATAGAGTGGGAAAAGTTTATAGGAAAAGAGGTTTCTAAAACCTTAAACTATATATAAAAAATAAATATAATGCTGTTGCTTCACAGATTTTCACCTTCGCATGGGTCTCTGGACTATAACTCCATGGATAGGTGAGGGATCACTGTAATTCTAGACAGCAGTTTTTGCTATATCACAGGATATTGCAATATATAGGCATTTATATATTTATGATTGTTTTTGCCTAAAAAACTTACAACAATGTCAATTCAACCATATTAAAATACTGAATCAAAATACAGTACATACTGTATTTCATCAGCAGTGAATACCATACTGTACACAAAGGAAATGCAGTATGCCACTACTGCCTGTGCAAGTTTGCTAACATGAAATTGTACACAGCATGATTGTCTGATAAAATGGAAGGTGCCCAACCACAGCACTGTGTATTTGTATCCTGGGTGCTGATTGGCTCAGTGACTATAGCAGTGGTCTGTCTGCTCTCCCACACTATGCCCATACATTCTCTCCTTGTGCACTTCACATGGACATCTGATCACTGCACCTAGTGGTGCTCTGTGGTGCTCTTTTTGTGCAATTTTTGTAAAAGTTTGAACTTATTTCAAGCCCTACAATGCCACCCAAACATTGTGCACTTTCCTAGACTTCTGGCAGTGAACCTAAGTGCCAAAGGAAGATGCTTACCATCAAAGAAAAGGTAGAACTTTCTTGATGTGTTAAAGGAAAAGGTTATATGGTCTGGGCCACCATTACAGGATCAGCGAATCCACTGTTCACTACACAAAGATGAGAAGAATATTAGGTCTATGGCAATAAGGACGTTTAACAAAACTGCAATGAGGGTGGTCACTTCCTGCAATACGGTCATTGTGAGGATGAATAAGGTCATTGTGAGGATGGAGTCTGCATTGGCCCTGTGGATAAAGGACTACAGCAACAGTATCTTGTTGTATATCAACACCATCTGTACAAAGGCCAAGGAACATTATGCTTTTTGTGGAAAGCACAGACCTTCACGACAGTGATGATGAAGATGAAGATGACACAAAAGCAGAACACGGAGTGCTTCTCCCCCCAAACCAACCCCATTCAGAGCCAATAACAGCTGGTTTGACAAAATATCAAAGACACTTTGGACTCCAGCATTTCTCTGCATGGAGAAGCTGCCTCTGAGGATAAAGCCAGAGCCAAGGAGTAAGAGAATGGAGTGTTCAAGTCCATCATCGAGTAAGGGGGCTATCTGACTGAACAAGTGTTTAACATGGATAAGACAAAGTCAGCAAGCGAAGAAGAGGATGGGGAGCCAGACAAACTATGGGTTGGAGGAGGAGGTTGGCCTAACGCTCAATCATCTTGTAACCATGGTCAGAATGGCCAAAGAATTTCAGCAAGTGGATGAAGATGGGACCCCATTATATGCTTCGTTCATTGCACAGCATAAATACAACTGAGAATGGCATGTCAGTTTATAAAAACCTTATCACTCGGGAAAAAAATAGCACCAGCAACTTCACATAACTCTATTCATCACACAGAGATCAGTTATGCCTACGCCTTTAGCAGAAACAGAAGTTACAGCCCAGGGTGAAGATACTGCAGCACCAGCTGATGTGGCTGATGAAGTGGTGCCTTCAGGAGAGCTGTGATGTGCTGCTTGGTTATACAGTATATTCATCTCATCTCATTACCTTCATCACCATTAGCACTGCATAGCTACATAATTCATGATCGTCATCGTTCAAGTTGTAGTACACTTCCCTGGTGAGTACCCATACAGAATTTTATATGTTGTTAAGACTACATAGATTTAAGAGTGTAGGTTTAAGAGTTGAGATCTAAGGATCATGGTTCGAAGTCAACTTGGGCAGAAAAGTCCTCGTGAGACTCTTATCTCCAATTAACAACCAGGAAATTGAGGAGCTGTGGCTCAAAGTGGTAGGGTGCTAGCCTTGAACACAAAGAGGCTCAGGATAGCACCCAGACCCTGAGTTCAATGCCCACAAGCAACACACACAAAGTGTGGGAAAGGTTAATAAGAGAGTGGGAAAGGTTTATAGGAGAGTGGGGTTTATAGTCTTAAAAGTTACATACATATGTGTATACACACACACACACAAAATAAATATAATGCTGCTACTTTTTGGATTTTCACATATTGTGTGGACATCTGAAATACAACTTCTGGGATAGGTAAGAGATCATTGTAATGTCCAACTTGGTGAAAAGTGTCCAATAAGAGAAAGAAAATCCAATATGGTTAACTAGAATTAATTTTCATGCTTATAATCCTAAACTTATTTTTTGCCTTAGAAAATTATGTTACAAATGATTAGGCTGAAGATTTCTAAGGTTGAAAAGAAAACCCACAAGCCCAACAATATTTACTTGTTATCAGACTACTGGCTGCACCTGCTATATGAAGCTGAAATTACTATTTCTGGTACAATTCCAAAGTAGTCCTTTTCCATAATTAGAATGCTCTTAGAACAACTCTCTTCCTAAGGTATTCCCTGACAGTTGAAAGTAAAACTGTGATGGGCGCCAGTAGCCCACACCTGTAATCCTAGCTACTCGGGAGGCTAAGATCAGAGGATTGCAGTTGAAGCCAGCCTGGGTGGGAAAGTCTGAATGGGGTGGAGTTGTGGCAAGTGGTAGAAGGCAAAATTGTGGCTCAGAGACAGCACCCAGGCTCTGTGTTTAAATCCCAGGATTGGTTAAAAAAATAAATAAATAAAACCAGCACTCCCTGCAGAGCTAACCTTGATTCCTTTCTGTGAAACACAAGGCTTATTTTCTCCAAATTTTCTGATGGTAAAAACTCATTCTTCATTTTGCATTTTCCCCACTTAAGGATCAAGCTCTTCTATTTGGTAAATTTCTTCAGAATGAAGACACTGGATAAGTTTCCTCTCATTGGTGGAGTTTCTGATGTCTAAGAAGGCTTGAGCGCCTACTAAAGTTTCTCTTACATATACTACAGGTATAAGGCTGCTCTCCTGTGTGGGTTCTCCGGTGTTTAATAAGATGGGAGTTCTGACTGAACTTTTTCCCACACTCATGACAAGTAAAGGGCTTCTCTCCAGTGTGAGTTCTTTGGTGAGTGTGAAGATTTGTATTTTGGCTGAAGCTTTTCCCACACCAAGAACATTTATATGGTTTTATTCCTTGGTGTGTGGTTAAATGCTTACTGAGAGCTGAACTCCACCTAAACCTCTTATCACACTGCTGACATTTGTAAGGTTTCTCTTCAGTGTGAATTCTTTGGTGCTTAAAAAGGTCAGAGCTAACTTTGAAGCTTTCCCCACATTCTGGGCATTTAAAGGGTTTCTCTCCTTCACAATCTTTCTTGTGAAGATCCATAAGTCTCAGCAGCTCTTGTTTCCATGTTGAAAGTTTCTTTCTTTTCTTCACTGAAAAATCTCGGTGCCATTTCCCCACTCTGTGTGTATCACCATGATTTTGTTTGCCAGTTGCTTTCTGGGAAACTTCCAATTTGATCTTTTTTGATACTATGTCTTTTGATGCTTGCATTTCTAAGTCAGAAAGTGATATAGGCTGGTGATTTTCATTGTCATTTTTTACTTTTAACCCTGTTGGAATAAACATAAGATTCAGCCACCTGTATTGCTGAACAAGAAAATGACAGAAATGGGATGGAAAATTAAGTGATTATTATTGTTTTTATTAGAAGAAAAACATTAAGTCCCTGAAAAGGTTCACATGAACATGTTTCCTCCCCTAAATCACAATTTACCTGTACAAAATCCTCTACGACTCTCTTTGAAATCTGAGGATCCTTGAACCCATGGTTCCTCCCCTTGTTCTAGACAGAAGATCACTTTAGGTTTGGGAAGCACAAATAATGCTGTGAGATGAAAAAAATGAAATTAAGCAATGTAAGTTAACAATGAGTTGTTCCATCAATTATACTTAGGGAGAATGAAGAACATTTTTACAGTGTATTACTGCAAATAAGTAAATGGAGTCTTCCACATCCACAACCGTTTCTATTCTACTGTATTCATGGATGGATATGAAAAGCAGAGACTGAGAAATAAACTTCAAAGTGATTTAACAAAAAGGATATGGGAAAGCCAGGAACTGGTGCCTCACACCTACAATCCTAGCTACTTAGGAGGTTGAGATCTGAGGATCGTGGTTCAAAGCCAGCCCAGACAGGAAAGTCTGGAGACTTTTAAAAAAAATTTGTCAGTTATGGGGCTTGAACTCTGGGCCTGAGCGGTGTCCCTCTGCTCTTCAGTTCAAGGCTAGAGCTCTACCACTTGAACTACAGGGCCACTTCTGGTTTTCTGGTAGTTTATTGGAGATAAGAGTTTCACAGACTTTCCTGCCCAGGCTGGCTTTGAATCACGATCCTCAGATCTCAGCCTCGTGAGTAGCTAGGATTATAAGTCTGGAGACTTTTATCTCCAATAACTACCAGAAAACCAGAAGTGGTATTGTGTCTCAAGTGGTAAAGCACTCACCTTGAGCTGAAGAGCTCAGGGTCAGCACCCAGACCCCAGAGTTCAAGCCCCACAAATGAACCAAAAAAAAAAAAAAGTGTAGAAGGCTATGTACTGAAGGAATTAAAAATGCATATTATCATTTTTTTTTAAATGAGAAAAGGAAGAAGGCAAGTAATCAGCACAGGGCCTGATCTCCTAAGGCCAGGTGTGGTTGCCTGAAGAACATCTGTGATAAAATGCTTTGTGTTGTTGAATCTTGTCAACTTTGATAAGTAGGAAATTATAGAGCACACTTCTGGCTATGTCTGTAAGAGTATTTCTAGAGACTATTACATCCAGAACATGGATGAGACCGTCCCACTGGCTAGAGGTGGCCCAGATGGAATAGAAACAAAAAGAGAAAGGCCACTAATACATGCATACTTTCACTGCTTCTTACTGAGCTTCTGTCCTGCCATACCATCCCCAACATGGTAGACTGAAATTTTGAGCCAAAATAAATTTCTCGTTATGTCAAGTCTGATGGATATAAGTGCCTAGGAGGTAGCAGCTGAGCAATGTTGGCATGAGGCAGCAGAGAAAGGCAGATGAGGTCTAGCTCAGGCAACCCTAAACATCTGGAAAGTAAAGTCACATGGGATTCAGGCAACCTGCGCTTAGGGAGAAAGGAAGCAGAGGAAATTTCCCATTTCTATCTGTGAACCGTATCGTGAGCTTATTTCTAAAGTACAAAAATATCTTGACTCTTTTTATTTTTTATTTGGTCAGTTCAGGGGCTTGAACTCATGGCATGGAAACTGTCCCTGAGCTCTTTTGCTCAAGGCTAGTGCTTACCACTTTGAGCCACAGTGCCACTTCTGGTTTTCTGGCTGTTCACTGGAAGTCTCAAGGACTTTTCTGCCAGCGCTGGCTTTGAACAATTCCTCCTATCTCAGCTGCCTCAGTAGCTACAATTACAGGCATGAGCCATCAGCATCCAGCAAAACCCTCTTTCAATAGAGATGGGACACCTTTACAAGTATGTGTATATCCATTTCTGGGGTACCAAAATGGCTTTTCCATTATAAATTAGAATCAAGTATCTGCCAAAACCAAAAGCCCATTCCCCAGGTGACTTCTATTTTCAGGAATAACAATAAAAATAGGGCTTTCCCACCTTGAATACTACTAACTGTTCTGAGTTGGGCAGAACTTAAAGGTGCTTGAAAATGAAGAAATCAGGGACTCTAGTATGTTGAATTTCAGGAAGCAGGAGGATGGAAATAAGCATGGCCAGTTTCAGTAACAGGACCAGTAAGGTTAAAGATGAAGCAAGAAGCCAGGCGCTGGTGTCTGATGCCTGTAATCCTAGCTACTCAGGAGGCTGAGATCTGAGGATCACGGTTCAAAGCCAGCCCAGGCAGGAAAGTCCATAAAACCCTTATCTCCAATAAACCACCAGGAAACTAGAATTGGCGCTGTAGCTGAAGAGATAGAGTGCTCACTCTGAGCTGAAGAGCTGATGGACAGCAATCAGGCCCAGAGTTCAAGCCCCAAGACAGACAAAAAAAAAAAAAAAAAAAGATGGAGCAAGAGCAGAAGTACCAAGAGATGATTATAGAGAGGTAAGTTGGAGCTATAATGTGGCAGGTCCTGGGAATGGGATGGATTTGGGATCTTTTCTGAAGTCACAGGGTTTGTAAAATTTGAAAGATCACTGGCTGCTGTGTAGAAAAACCTGGAGAACAAGATGAACGGAGAAGCATCAGCCAAAGAGCTATCCGGTTTGAGCTAAGACTGGATTTGACCATAATTGTAACAGTAAAAGAAGCTGAGACATGGTTGAATCCAATGTTTTTTTTTTTTTTTTTGGTCAGTCATGGGGCCTGAACTCTGGTCCTGGGCGCTGTCCCTCAGCTCTTCAGACCAAGGCTAGTGCTCTACCACTTGAGCCACAAAGCCACTTCCCACTTTTTCTGTTTATGTGGTGCTGAGGAATCAAACACAGGGCCTCATGCATGCAAGGCAAGCACGCTACCACTGAGCCACCTTCCCAGCCCAAGCTATATTCTGAAGGTAGATCCAAGAATACTATCACTTAGGAAGTGGCGCTGTGGCTTAAGTGGTAGAGCACTCGCCTTGAGCTGAAGAGCACATGGACAGCGCCCAAGCCCAGAGTGCAAGCCCCATGACCGACCA